TAAATGCGTGCTTATATTCATGATTAATATTCATTTTTTATCAGTAAATAGTTGTTATAATCATCAACCCAAGAAAGAAAGACATATTTGTAAATTTTAATTACTTCTCCAGGTCATCATAGGTATGTGTAAAATTTTAAATATATTTTAAGTAAACTAAGAAATATAGGAAAAAAACCTTTTTTAAATTTTTTTCAATTTAAACTGTTTTTGTTTTTTTTTTAACTCAAGAAATTTTCCGGAATTTTGACTTGGGCTCACAATCACCCCTGATAATATAAACACTTTTCTTGTATACATCCTATTCTTCATGAGAAAAAAGAAACACACACCTGGAAATTTTAAGATTTTTATCTGGAAAAATCAGGGAAATTTGAAATCTGATTTGAGTGGCCACCCTGAAAAAGTATCTAAAATAAAAAAATTTATATTAATTGTTGTATCATATTTTTGCCATTATGATACTTTGTATTGTAATAATAAATTTCTTTTGTTATTCCACAGGTTTCCGTGGTTAAGACATGCTGTTGAGAAGAGTGGTATTGGTAATAACGGAGAAAAAGGTATTGGCGTCTCCTCGACCTGCAAAAGTAATGTATTCAAGGCAAGACCTTTTCAAGAAGAGTTGCCTAAACCGGAAGAGCTTAACTATTCAGCCTTAAGTGAGCTTCTAAACGCGGTTAACTTGAGCATGGAACGGGAAACACAGCATCTCTACAATTAACATTCACCCCTTTGCCTTCAAGTTGTATAATAAAAACCAGAATTCAAGAAGTTGATATAAACAGATTTTTCGAGAATCTATGAAAGAAAATTCTTTAAAATTATATTGATTAACTAATATTATATTTTCATGTAACTATTTTTCTATAAACAGTGATTGATTTTTTTTTCATTCATGTTTTTATAACTGTGCAGTATTTTTATAAGTAAATAGTGTAATGTGAGACACCGAAAATTTCAGTATTGAATAATGAAAATGTTATGCATTTCTCTTTTCATAGCTGCCAACTCTACTGGATTTTGCCAATTTCTCCCGCTTTACTCGTCTAATCCAATCTCTCCCGGTTTTTTTACATTTTAGAAAAGTCCCTAAAATTAAGTTTCCTAAAAAATCCCTATTGAAATAGAATTTTTCACAGTTTATTGCTTGCTTGAATATCTAAATTGGTGTTACGTAATAAAGCGAGCTTCATTTATAGTATTCAATATAAAGCTTTTTTTCTTATTTAAAAATATCGTGGTTTATTTTTATTTGGATTCTCTTTTTTTAAATTATTTAAAGCATCTTTAAACTATCAGTAAGAAATTACTATTAAAAATTGTGATTTAGCATAAGTTAAAAGCATTTCGTTTAATGTCAATCATAACTGGTAAATATAAAATTTTTGTATTTTGATGACAATAAAAATCCCTGTATGTAAAATATTTGGTATATTATGCAGCAAATATCATGAAATTTATGTTTTGTGAAATCTACAGTATTTTTTCCAGTCCATATTGGCAGCAATGCTCTTTTGTACTTTCTTCCTACTTTACTATTTCAGTTTTTATTTTTTTGCAGTCTTTATTTTTTTGCATGGAGAACTATTATATTTTTGCCCTTTTTTATACTTTTTAATTTGGTACGGTAGCATAACATTTCAATTTTTTTTTTCTGTAAAATACAGTATTATTAAAAATTTGTAGATTTTTCACGCATTTTTATTGTGTATGAATTTTAGAAAAATAGAATGTTCTCTCTGTATCTGCTACTTTCACAAGATCTGACCAGTAGTAATTTGACAAGAAATTTTGGTATAAATTGAAAGTTTCCTAGTTTTTGTGTAATTTTCGGAAATTTGATGATATTTGGAAAATTTGGTTTAAAAAAAAAAACTTTATTAAATTTTTTATTTTTTTTTATTTATTTATTTATTTATTTTTTTTGGACTTTAACAGGGTTCTTATAGTCTTTAAATTCCTTGAAGTCGTTTAGTAATTCTTTAAAATGAAACATTTTGACATCAAAAATTTTTCAAGTTACATTTAATTAGTGAAATCATGGGGAAAATGTTGCACAAGCATGCTCATAAAAAGGGTTCCTTTTTAAATAGGCTAACAATTGTTATTTTTTTATAAAATTTTCTAGACAATTGAGTCTGCATTTAAGCAATTATTTTCAACCTGTGTCTGTTTCAATGACAAAATGTTTTTTTTTTCCCTAATTTTTGGAACTTGTTCATTAATTGCTATTAAGTTACTTAAGTATTTCAATATAGATTTTAAAATAATTGCATCCTCCTATTTTTTTCCCCTTGAAGCTTTGTGATTTTTTTTTCCTTGAAAATTCTTAAAGCTCTTAAGCTTTATTTTGAAAATAGAGAAATAGAGCCCTGTTTAAATAAGTAATATTATCAAACAATAAAGAAAAGATCATTTATATTAATGAGTTGAAAACTTTTAGTTATTTTATTTATTTATTTTTATTGAGAAATTATTATTTTTAATCAATTCAAAGTATTTGTTTAGTTCTGAAAATGCTAGTTACATCTAACTTAAGTGAATACAATTTTTATTTCTATTTAAAATTATCAGTTGAAAAATATAAATAATGTAAATAGAAATATTTATAGTCAAGCCTGTCTCAATCAGACGAAACCTTTTTTTAACTGTATCTCTCCAACAGAAAAATTTATAGTCATGTTTTTGTTTTTAATTTTTTATTATAAAAATTTCAGTTTTTATGCAGTTATGCCCTTTTTTTATACAGTGTGCAATAATTTCTATAGCGCATAAGTAATATCGCTAAGAGAGATTAAAAGAAAATTTAGAGTTATAAAGTTATGCAGATTTTCATTTTCTCTTTTGAAATATCCCTAAAATTGTTTTCACATAATATTGTATGCATTTCACAACATTTATATATTTTCTGAAATTGTTTGTACTACAAACTACCGTAAACTAACATTATTGCAGCGAAATTATATTTATAATTATTAAAGTAATATAGTTTTGGCATTTAATATTTCCTTTTATATTAAAAGAATTTCCTGTATAGACCATTTTATGTATTCAATAGTTAGCAAAAATTATCTGTTTCAGAAAATCTATTAGAGATTCATGTCAGAAAATTTGATAAAACTGATATCTAAACTAGTTTTCTATTCTTTAGTTCTACATATACAAAAATTTGTTGGATTTTGATTGGGGTGTTTCACTTAAACATTGATTTACGACAACAAATAGGTCCTCATGATTTAATCTTTTGACATGGATGCTAAAAATAGATATCAAAGGCAGTGATTATAGGACATTCTGTATGTGTATATATTTCATTGATTGGCAGCTTTTGTAAAGCATTTATTTTGGTACAAAGTTATATTTTTTTTTCAAATTGATTTTCAATCTTTATTTATTTTAAATTTTATTTATTTACAAATAGAAGCTTATTTAATAATTACAAACTCTGCATGCTTGTATATGTTTTCTATTTATGATTCTTTTTTCAAAACCGAAATATTATTTATTTTAAAATGTTGAAAATTTGAAGGAAATCTTTATAAGAAATTATTTTAGCTGTGTGTGCCTGTCACTTGTGTATCTCTGTCCTGTATGTGCCTGACACTTGTATTTCTGACCTGTGTACTCTTGTTATATATGCTTTAAATTTTTATCAAATTACATATTGCAGACAAGATTAAATGTAATTTTTTGGCGTACTTTAATCTCAGTGTTTGATATATTTATATAAAAATGTCATTATTTCTTTAGAATGTATGTGTTAATGAATATTTAATTTTGTATAAATGGGAATGAGCTTGCTAGTTAAATCTTAAAATTGTATGCAATGATATGAAGATGATAAAATTGTATGTACGAAATGAAATTGTTGATTAAATTATATCATAGTATAAATATCTTACATCTTTGTAAATTTTGTGACTTATGAATTATATTAATCGAAATTCACATGAAACTTATCTATGTATTATAAAAATAAAAATAAATTNCACTAGATTATGATAAAATTGTAACGATCTTGCATGTATGGAATTTTATTTCTTATTAAATATATAGCTATATAATTATAAACATTTTACGGGTATGCATACTTAATGTATTATATTTATCAAAGTTCTCCTGAACGTTTTATTTATGTCTATTTTAAAAATCCTTAGTGAAGCTTTCAGAACAACTCCTCCAGATTTCAGTCTTGCATGGTATCAAGTAATTATTTAATTTTTCAATCAGTTAATTATTATTGCAAGGATAAGTTACTTCGGATAAGGGTTAATCAGGGATGATAGTATTCTGGGTGTGCCCTTGAATTCCGGGTTTTCCGTATTATTCCTCCAGGTCTGGAAACTAGTAGCAAGGCATGTGATTTTTTTGCAGAATTCCGTTCATCTCAATACCATTGATTTGCGGATTTTCGCGAATCAGAACTTATAATCTGATGAAATTATCACTGCAATTTAACATTTAGAGTAACAATTAAGTTCTACAATCTAGAATTAAAATTTTTAAAGCTTCACTGAATCACGTTAACGAGATTTTTTCAAACACTAGTCTCTTCTGCAAATATACATTTTTGGTTTGACCGCTCTTCATAGTTTTTAATGTTTGAAACTATGTTGGAATCCTCTAATATCGTGATTCATCTTCATGCTATTTTAATATCTATCATCGATTTTCGTATTTACCTAATTTAAAAGTTATTCATTGTGAATCGTATTCATGTGATTTAATAATCGAACATCGTGATTCATATTCGAGCGAGTTTAAAATCCTACGTCACTATTCCTAGTCACTGGATCAAAAAATTGTGTGCATCGCAATTCAAAAATCCAATAATGCGATTTGTGTTTTCACATTCTTAAAATCCAATATCGTGATTCATATTCATGCGATTTTTAAATCCAATAATCGCGATTCTTGTAAGAATGTGTCCTTAAATTAGTTACTATAAAATAATTAATTTAATAATAAAAAATTTTATTAACTCAGAATAGTGTATAAATTGATATCTTATTGAGTTTTTACACATAAAATTTTCAGGGGTTTTCAGTTTGTGTCACAATCATCCCTGGTTAATAGTTTTCCCTTCATTTTGTCGCAGATCAGCATGAGAGTCGAATCTTTCATTAATCCAATACATCCCCATTAAAAATATGTTTTCTTTTGCTACCATAATAGCAGGCAGACCCAGACTTTTTGTATAGAGGAGTTCTCCTCAGAGCTGAACAGTATTCTAACCTATTTTATACATTGGGTTATTACGATAATGAAAATCATAATGATCATATATGTATGCAATGTAATTGCTTATTGAACAGCTGTTATATAATTATAAACATTCTATATGAGTAAAATGAGTTTGCTAACTAAATTATGATATGTATATAAACATCTTTAATTATAATATACTGTAGTGAACCTTAAAGGGACCAAAATTTCGGTTTGTTATAACCGTGAATTCACTATAACCGCTCTGCAAACAATTTTAACTAATAGTTCCAAACTCCCCCGTTTTATTACACATTATTTAAATAAATGACAAATGAAATACAAAAATGACTGAAAAATAATGCATAGTAACAAAAGAAATTTTTACTTTTATTTTTTATTTTTCTTCGTCGTGCATACAAAGAAAATTAGTTATTTTAAGCTGATGAGCAATCCTCAACTTCAGATACGGAAACTCTTCCCGATTCAGATAATTTTTCCTGAATTTATGTTATTCTGCTTTTTAAACCTGTCTAACCAGCCATTTGAGAACATATAAGTAGCCTCAGCGAATTCATCGGCTTTGACTTGTAGCATTTGTCCGGATACTGGAAGATTGCGTCTTTGAATGCTGAACCAATTCAATAATGACGCAAACGAGAAAAATTGCTTATTGCTACATTCCATGCTATAGATCATAATTTAAAAATCTAATTCCATTTATTTTGAAGTAGAAATTTCAAAATTATTGCCGAAAAATGAAAAAAATTTATAAGTCTAAGACAGAAAAAAGTTCATAATTTTCAAATTGCCCTCTTTTTTGGTTCACTATGTCCACAATAAATAACATTATACGTGTGTAGCAAGGCACGAGCGCGAACATTTCATTCACTATATCTTTGAGTTTACTATAAACAGCGTTCGCTATGTCTAACTGTAGTGTCTCGCAGTGTCTAACTGTATATATAAATTAAACATCTTACCGTTATGCATATTTTATGAATTATATTTATCAAAATTGACAAAAGCTTTTATTTATATGTAATATAAAAATTCTTATTTACTCTAATTTGTTTTATACTTAGGATTGCATTTTAATCAGTGTTTCTTATGAAATCACTGGTTAAAATGCAAATTGTTATCTAAAGGCATTTATTTTTGACAAAATTTTATATGAAATTTTGAGCATGTTTTAATAAAATAATATATACTAAAATATTCTGGAATAATGTATTATGAAGTTTTTATTTATTGAAATGTACAATGATTATTTCACCTTATCATACCAATAAATATTTTGACTATAAAAACAAATGTGTTATTTTAGTAACTTCTGAGAAATTTTGAATTAAATGTCAACAGCCATCTACATTTGCTAACAACACATACTCTTTTGGGATTAAGAATTATTTATTTTTTTTAAAAAGAATCATAAGCAGGGTATCTGCACAGTTATGAATTTCAGTATTGAACAAAATTTGTCATGATTTTAACTAAAAAATCATTGAAAGTCATTTAGGTCACCGAAAAATCTAATTTTTAAAATGGAATATACCCCCCAATTTCATGGTGTTTCGAATATCTGAATTTGTAGCAAAATCCCCACTCACAGTCAGTTTTGATTTACTTATAAAATGTTTTTATCATTTTCTTTAAAAATTACAGTATTCTTTCAAAAAATGAAAGAAAAAACATTTTTAGAATGAATTATTTTTTAAACTTCTGTGATTTCAGAATTTTTATCATTTTTTATTTTAATTTGAAATTCTATCTGCAACGAGCCAGTCATTAGCGATTTTTTTTTTCGAAATGAGAACAGAAAAATCGGGATTATTTCTGA